GTCCTTCGCAACTGACCACCAGAGGTGGAGAGAGCTGATCAGACAGTCAACAGAAACTCGTAACCCAACGACATGCAGTGTTACGGGATAATGATGATGAGTTTGCCATTGCCATCAATCGTTGGCTGTCTATACCTGTCGAAACCAATGTAAGGCGGTCTGCTGCCAAATCATGAAATCTTGACTGGAACTCGGCACCCATAAATTACGAAGCATATTGCAACGACTAAGCCACAGACGCCGACTGTTCACACATTTGCAGCCTATTATTATTTTCTATGACAACTTTTTTTTCGACCGAAAAGTCATCATTTTCATAGGCTTTTCTCATTACCACCAACAGATTGTCATTTTTACGCGACTGTCCTGTCTGTAGTTGCTCGAACAAGAGGTCCTCATGTTTCTTGCTGCAGAGGTGGTAGTTCTATAGAAGCCAAAGAGTTAGCAGCCTGAAAGTGGCTGTCCGTTGTCTTCGGAAGGGATGATGTTATCAGGTTATCGACCTACTTAGAATAAGAGTTAACTAACGGGAAACTTCCTTTAATGTGGAAGTGAATCTATCCGAGGAACAAGGAGCCAAAAGTACACCAGGTATGTAAACCTGATGTACACGCAACGCTCAAGCTCTGGAACATGAACAAAGTCTATAAGTGGATGAACAACACGAACTTTCTGCCAAAGTTTACAGTTGTTAACATTAAGAAAAAGAAGAAGTACCTTATCTTCTCACTTATCTACTATTGTGATGTAGAATTTAGAATAGAACTTTCTTGTAGCCTTTATCACGCGTCACTCCAGATATCTGTAAAAAGCACCGTATTGATTCTCATGTTGAGAAACGCCTCCGATTCGTGTGCGAAGCCAAAGCAAAGGTTTTGGCCTAAATAGATAACTGAATGCGAACAACAGTACGCAGTGGCGACCCCTGACCGTTTTTTAAAAGTGGTGAGAGGCAGGTTGACCCATGGGTGCCGACACAAATAAACCATTAAGTTGGGTAATGGGGGTGGGGAGGGGCGGTTTAGAATCCATAGACATTTTTTAAAAAATAGGTGCTTAAGCGGCGTAGACCTTGTTTAACTGCTTGAACTAATAATAGTAATAATAATGAGAGGTACTTATCACGAACTTGCCTGCACGACGAGAGTTCCTTCCCCTTCATTAATTCCGTTGCCGATCCCATGGCCTGTCCTGTGTTTTTAGGGGGAAGGTCATGTATTTTTGTTTCCAACAGCCTAACCTTTCTCTCTTTTCTTGTGTTGTCACTGCTCTCTTGCGTGCTTATTTCTACGTTGTGCAACTTGCCCGACAGTTCATGAATATCGAAAGTGGGATGTTTTTGTATTTCTACTTTCCTTGTCAGTGCCTCGTTTTAGTGGGCGGAAACTACATCCAAAGAACTTGGAAATACAAACCGTACCAGTTTCGATACTCACGAAAGTCACGCTTTCGGCGCTTCCCATGCAGTACTTATAACTTGTATACAGGCGCCTGTGACGCCTGAAAGAAACTCACGACAACACAACTTCTCACAAACACGTACGACAAGCGAACGCCGAACGAAACATGACCGTCCGTGGCATGAACAAGAGGGGACGGAACTCTACCCGTGTGGGCAAGCTCGTAATATGCTCCTAATGATGATGATGATGATTATGCTAATGATGATAATAAGGATACTGATGATGATGATGATGATGATGATAATAATAATAATAATAATAATAATAATAATAATAATAATAATAATAATAATAATAATAATAATAATAATAATAATAGTATCCTTAATTAAAAACATATTATTAACCTCTCTAAAATAAAATCATTTATATTATGAAATGTATACAGAAAGCTTTTGAGTGGTATTAAGTGAAAACTACTCAGGCTTCAGTTCCCATGTTTGGGTCAGCGTTCTGGGGCTTGCAGTGAGAGAAACGTTATTAAACGGGCTTACAAGGACCATGGTACTGCAATGGCAACTAATATAACTCACCTATTTCTGGACAAGAGACCTGCTTGCCTGTTAGACGGTGTTGGGTTTGTATGTGAATTCAAATCAAAGACCTTAGGGTGGCCGTGCAAGTGTATAACCAAATCGTTGTGCTACCAACTCGCTAGGAGGTGAGGTGAAGCCCTGGTATGTCAGAAGATTCGTTTGCGACATAGTCAGGGCTGGATTAATCATTAAGCACACTGGGCACGTGCCTAGTCATTCAGAAAGGAAGGGGCACCACATACGTTTTGCAATAGAATTGGAGCTGGGCGTTTTTGTTTTTCCCTCAGTTGAAGGATATTAAAAAAAAAACGCCACCAAAATAACTACGCACCAAGGCCGGCTGGAGAACCTATCTGAGTTAAGTATAGAAGCAGATGATGTTACATGGAGTTAGTTTGAGGATCTGATCAAAGACTTAGCAATTAAAAAACAGAAGAAGAAAATGTTTTAAATATAAATAAAGTAGAAGAAGACAACAACAGACATTATTTTTAATATATTTTTTTTTTAAATTTCGATAAATACAATTATATTTTACGGCATATTATTTTTTTTATATTTTGAATTACCTTTTAAATGAGGGCAGCCGTGCTGGGCGCTTGCCTGGAGGTTCAGCAAGCATAAGAACTCATCTGTGTATGTCAAGTGACCATTTACTTTTCCTTCCTGTGACTGGTTGTCGTAGGGGCCGCAGCCGACTGGTTTTCCTAAGGGCTACAATAATGCTGTTAAGACTGCCCTGACAGAGGGGAAAGGGCATCGAAATCTTTGAACTGCTTATAGCATAACATGATCTTAATCAGGCCCTGGATGTCGGCCAAAAGATCTACGTGACAACTACCACAGTCATACGGTTTATAACCAGGTAGGCTAACCCGGTCAAAAAATGCCCACAAAAGTCGGATGTGTCTGCCGAGAGATACAAATATCGCAGCCTTGCTGTAAACGGGCATAACGCAATTACATCTTCGTATGCATGCCGAGGAAGAAGAAGAAGAAGAAGAAGAAGAAGAAGAAGAAGAAGAAGAAGAAGAAGAAGAAGAAGAAGAAGAAGAAGAAGAAGAAGAAGAAGAAGAAAAAGAAGAAGAAGAACAAGAAAAAAGAAGAACAAGAAAACGAAGAAAAAGAAGAACAAGAAAACGAAGAAAAAGAAGAAGAAGAAGACGAAGAAAAGAAGAAGAAGAAGACAAAGAAGAAAAGAAGAAGAAGAAGAAGAAAAAGAAGAAGAAGAAGAAGACGAAGATACGGTTTATACGTCACACGTGCGCACCAGAAGCCAGAAAAGATCACCATTTATTAGCTCTATCACTAGTTTCCCAGCAAGAATCGCCCCTACGTGATATGAATGTGGGAATGCACAATTGAAACCGACAATTCAATTACACAGAAACATTCTCCATTTTTACTCTTGAACACGCATGACACTTGAAATGACATGTATTTTACCATACAATGCACCGGCAAATTTGCCAGCGCCTTCTCAGAAAGACGCTTAGACTTCTGAATGTTCCAATGACAAAAATGGATGATATGCACGGCTACTGTTTTTAGTTGTGGCAATTTTGTTGTTGTTGCTTCGGTGGTTGTCGTTGCCTTTTGCTACATGTGTAGACTGAGTTGAGTGCATTGGGCGACACTGTGAGCTGCAGATTTCTTTTGGAATGTGTTTCGACTGTGACCAGTGTGGTGGTGCAAATTCAGAAAATAGCGCTTGGCTTGTTGTCACAAAAATAGGTGGTGCCTTATGCAATTAAAATAATGGCCTGTGCAACTGCTCATTAATGTAGTCATTCTGGTGTCGACTGACTTTGAAAATTTTTTTTTCACTATAATCACCCAATTGGGGATACTTGGGAAGTCAAAGCTCCCTATCTTCAATTATTTTTACTCGCCTGTATGTGTTAAATATGTGTGTGATCATGTGCACGCGTGTGTATGAGTGAGTGATTGTGTCTTTGAGTGTGTCCACGGGAGTGTGTGATTGTGTAGGAGAGTGTGTGGGCGTATGAGTATGTGCGGTCCTTCATACAGAAAGTCTAGATGTCGACTAGCTTAGATACGTTTCCCTATTGTGAATTTTGCAAATTTGTCATCTGATTGCCTGCCACATTACGTTGTAGTTATGCTGGTGCTGAAAACAAAGCTATTCATTTACTTGTTTTGTCTAGTTACATTATGTGGTATGATGTCTTTGAATGTAGAATAAACAATATCAGTTCAGGTACTGACATTTACAAATTGAACTATTTAGTGAATGGTGTAATCTCTGTTGATAATGGTTGATAATGGGGTCGCTATGTATGTTTGTATTTATTTGAATGTGTGTATAAGTGCCAAACGTGACACTTACATTCTCTAATGAACGTAAAATTGTGGCAACAGAGATAAAGTGCCTTCGATGAGCTGCAGGAGTTTCAAAGAAAGACAGAATACGAAATCATGAAATCAGACGAATGCTAGGAATAAAGCCAGTCTTACAGGTCATCAAAGAACAACAAATGAAGTGGTTTGGACACATAAAAAGAATGCCCTGGTACTATCTGCGACACACAGCGAGCCCCACTAAAACGTTACAATGGGTATAGAGCGAGTGGAAGACCTCGGAAATTATGGAGTGATACCATAAAGAAATGAACATCAATCTTAAAAGTGCTATTGACAGAGCTCATCAACGAACGTTACATCTCCCCCGACACTTCGATGAGGTACAAGGTGGAAGAGAGTAAGTGCATAGGTGTATGTGTATATATGTGCGCATGTTGGTGTATATGTGTTTATGCCTGTATGAGATTATATCATATATGCATACATACATATACAAACATACGTGTCTGTGTGTGTGTGTGTGTGTGTGTGTAGGTGACTGCATGAGTGTGTACGTACAAGCATGTGTATGTGCGTGTGACTATGTACGTCTGTGTAGGTGACTTTAGTGCTTATTTGCTTGTGTAGATTTATGTATCTGTGTATTACTTATGTGTGTCTCCAATTTCCTCTTCAGAAACTGAAACAAGAAGAGAACACTAGAGGATATCCGGCTGAGGAGTTGAAGCGTGGAGAGCCCTGGAGGAAGAAGCGAGGACAGGATCTTGGGGATTTTGATGCTGCTATCTACCAGGAGGAGAGACCGCTGGCTTACTCTGTTCTACCAGAGTCTGAACTAGGTAAGGGCAGTTCTTCTTCTTGTTGTCATTTCCTAGAAGGCAACAACATATATCGGCCATTACCCATAAGGTCATGAATAACAGTTGCCCCCATTATATTCTTCGTCACGTTCATTCTCACGGCTTCAAGTATCGATGGAGATATTAGGTGATATTTCCTGCTCTCCTGTCCACCTTGACCACAGACTTATCTTTCTGTCGTATAGTTTCTCAGATGTTTCTTGCCATCTTGTTCTACCTCATGTTACTACGTTCCTATGGTATAGCGCTGCAATGTGTAACAAGTCATTTTCTCATTGTTAATTAATGTTCGCATTTGCAAAAAACGTTAAATACAAACCAAGAATTATGTGCTTGAATTTAATTGAATGGTATTGAGTACAAAGCATAATAAATAGCTTGCAAGATGGCTGAAACGTGCTAGAGTAGAGAAATCATGAACCATGTGTAGAACGTTCGAAAACTCGAGAGGGAAACATATTATCTAAGCTTGGAATGATCTAGAGGATTCAGTCTTGTTTTCGATCCTAGGACGGTGTGTCTGGCGAAGCTGGCGGAGTGAAAGCTAACCACTAATTAGGCACACCACTATACTTGCTGTCTTCGAATCCATGTTAGTACTGCTTCTGGGCCAACTTTTCTTTTACGACTTCATAAAAAATTTTTTTGTAAATTCTGCAACCTTTCTAAAATATCTAGTGTTGATGGTTGCTGAATTTCTTCTCTGGATTCAGGTTTCAATTTTTATTATGTCTGGTCCCTGTGGTGATCAAAATGCTGTTAGTGATGTACTTTTGTTTTTGTCTGTGATTAACTTATTTACCAACAGATTAAAAATAGAGCCTCAGTTATGAACTGTTTGCTTCATGGGACTGCATTGGACTATTTGCTGTATACCGCTAGGCGTCGCTGTTAAACTCGCCCAGTCCCCCAAAATCATAATTTTGCCCCAAAATAGGCAGAAATGACAACTATGAATTCTAGGGTACACTACGTCAACAGGTGCCAGAGATACATACTCCTTGTAAGAAACGAATTGGTTTAATTACTCGAAATCGCTTAGACGAACGTTAGAATACCAGGAGCACGCATTTTTTTTTTTTTAATTGCAGCCCAATGTTTTATGTGTGAATAATACATCTCTTGTCGGCGTCTGTTGCTTATGTTTTGAGAACGCGCCTCGTAATGCCTGGGTGCCGGTTTCGATTCCAGCTGCGGGCCTTGTGGCTTGCTTTGGTTTCGACAGTGCTATGGAGAAGCCGACCGTCCAGTTGGCAATGGCAAACTACTGGATGTAAATTTACCTCAAAAACACAACAGCCAAAAAAAATGCTAGGTTTAGTTCTGCATTGTCCTGTGAAGGATACTCAACTAACTAGCTAACTAGCTACCTAGCTAACTAACTAACTAACTAACTAACTAACTAACTAACTAACTAACTAACTAACTAACTAACTAACTAACTAACTAACTAACTAACTAACTAGACAACTAACTAGCTAAATACATCTTTTAAGACCTCATATTCTTCATATTTTTAAATCAGGAAATGTTTTTTTTCCCTGAAATTCATGTTAAGGTGATTTTTCTGTATCACATATTTGGTGGGAGCCATCGTGGTATAGTGACTAGACGCTCACTAGCGAATCCGAAATTCTTGAGTTTAAATCTGAAAGTTGTAATGAGTTTTTTTTTCCCCTTCAAAAATGACTTTGATTTTCATGCCAATGCAACGTTAAACAGGTAGCAGATAAATTCCTTGGAAGTGAAGGCGGTCGGTGTGTTGCTGACCACTTGATCCACCAACTGCCGACTGGTCTATAGAATATAGGCCAAGTCCTATTTGCCCAATATGCCTAAGCTGGTGGGAAATGTATCCTCCATTGTTTGATACGAATGACTTATATCCAATCATACAAAGCACATTGCGGATTGCCGAATAACGTTCGTCATCGTATTGAGACATCAACCTTCTGTAATACATACTGTCAATCGTTTTTGTTTTTAATAGATACGTTGTTCTATTTGATGATGCCTAGTCGCTTTTCTTCGTTTGTCTCCCCTTTCCTGTTTTTCTGTTGCCACAGCAGTTGATTCTATATCTCCTATTTTTCTCTATACAAGATTCTCTGTGTGCGATATTTTTATGCCGCCTTTTATCACTCACACACACACACACACACACACACACACAAAAGCTCTTAAGATAATTTCAAAATAATTCTCCAATAATAGAGCCACTGCTCCCACACGTGCAAATTGTAAAAGGTGAGTAATGAAGAAGGTTTACTTGGAAATCGGTGGCCATTTGCTTGTGCGGCTACAGCCAACAAGGCTGCACATAAATAAGTCTGATCTGTAAAATGTATGTGCACGCAACACTCAAATTATGGAGGCAGACTTGAATCCAGAAATGGACGAAAAACACAGAGCATTCTGTTGGGAGTTTACAGCCCTCTGTCTTTAGTGATATATCACTTAGTCTGCTGTTATTCGACATTTTTCTCGTAACTGCTTGTGTCAGAGGGTGAGCGATTGCCCAGTGCTCGTGTTTCTTGCATCCTGTTAATGCATAATTTATTCCCTTAGGAGCATTGTGCATTGTTTTATTTCCACGTAAGTAACAACTCTGATGATGTTGCTTAGAAAGAAAACAAAACTTACCAGCAGTGGCATAAAATGGGTGTCATGTGAAATTGCTAAACATTATTTAAATGGGATGCGTTCAAGAAAAGCGAAAGAATTTTAAAAAAGAGTTGTAAAAAAAAAAAAAAAAAACCAGTATCATTAGTTATAAAGCAAAGAAGATGGCAATATCTTTGGCACATCATGGAAACAAACGGACATAGAATCCTCAGATTGGCATTACATGATATAAAAAAAAATTATAACAAAAATAAATAAATGTATGATTTTGTTCAACCTGCATATAAAAGTGTGTTTTTATATTTGCGATCTTTATACTGTTATTCAGTACCTGGAAACTACCACATTACTATCCCAAGAAACACATTTTGTAAGCCAAAAATGAACAGTCCTTAAGAAAGAGAATCGCGGCTTTTGAGCTGAAATGCTATAGAACGATTCTCAGAATATCTTAGATAAAGAAGAGGAGAAATACTGACATATTGAAAGATCTGAACATCAAGGAAGATTGGCTAATAAACAGCATCCTGTTTCGGAAGCTGAAAAATTTTCGTCAAATCAAGCACCATGACTTATAGGGAAAAAAAAATAGCAGAAAGCATGGTACCAGTAAGGAGGGGCAGGGGCCGACCAACACGAAGATGGGCACAGGATATAAGTGACTCTTTGAGTATGAAAGTACATGAGGAGGGAGAACTGGTGAGAGACCGAGTTTCTTTCAGCCAGACTGTGATGAGAGCGACGTTCTGCAAAGGACTTGCTACATGATGATGATAATACGGTTATTCTTCATTACGATGCTGCTTCCTGAAGTGCTTCTGGTTATGTGTTTCATAACATCATGTTTTTCACTATTCTGCCAAATAATTGTGTTTATTGAGGTCAAAGTTGTTGCTTCTCTTCCACCTTTACCTCAGATTTCTGTAGAGGAACCCACTGTTGGTCATATATTGTAATCTGGTATCCGTTCCCTATTGGGACTAGTACCTACCATGACGCATTTTATAGTGGACTTTCCCTTGACTGGGCACTCCTGAATCAACACTCTTTTGTGACAATGAATCGGCACTGAAACGGGAGGGACATTATTTGTGGAAACAAGGACCGCAAAGAAAAACCCCTACGATGACTGTCGTTAAGAGAGGACAAAGATGTCGGACTTAATTCCATCTATAAAACAAAATGATTGTACAAGACAGAGAGGAATGGACATGGATAAAGAGACCGCGAGACCTATGTCATGTACATATAAAGGCACACACCAATGTCGTGCTGAATGATTATTCTTAATGATAGTCATTGTAACTCAGTGGCCATTACGCCTATTGCTTACGTAAAAACATAACCCTTGATCCGTTAGGGTGGTGGCGGTGTATAGATGGAAGCACTAGCGCATAAAACCGGCCATATTTTTCCATCTTTCGCTTGATGAACAAGTGTATGATAACTCAGTCCTGTCAATTTCTTGATGTTGTTCTTCCAGATTCTCCTTTGCCCTCCTTTTCTTCGACTACCCCGTATGTTACTTGCCTGCATACCAATCCGATTTCCTTTTGTTCCGATCGCTACCTATGTCGATTTTACAATTGACCTTGGCTCCTAAATCGACCCTGGATTAAAAGATAATATAATATTGCACTGTATGGTGCCTTTACACGCCAGTCGCGTAAGAGGCACACAAGGCTGGACTCAAATGTTTACAGACCTCGATGAATGATGTTCTCAATGTCACACACTGGCGCTCTTTGTTTTCCGGGATTATAACTTGGCACCCACTGAAGCAAACTAGAGACGTAAATTTGCCTAGAAAAAAACCACAACAGCTAAAAAAAAAAAAATGCTGGCGTTGGTTCTGCAACGTCCTGTAAAGGATACGAAACAAACTTTTACAAACCTGTAAATGATATAAAACTATTTTTTAACCCCTGTATTTATAAGTTAGTTTCGTATCCTTTACAGGACGTTGCAGAACCAACCCCAACAACCCCTGGCTGTTGTGTGGTTTTTCTAGGCAAATTTACGTCCAGTAGTTTACCATTGCCACTGGACGGTCGGCTTTCTTGATACCACTGTCGAAACTAACGCAAGGCACACGGCCCGCAGCCGGGATTACGAAGCGTTCGCATCGACTTCCCTGGATTTATACAGTTATGCATTTCAACAAATCTGTCTCAATGCAGAATTGAACCCACGACCCTCCTATCTCCAGGGGAGCGTTCAGCCCCTATACCAACGACGCGCCTAGTAAAACACATACAGGTACTAATATCTTCAGACAATATTTGTTCAGGCTCCGTAGATTGATACAGAGAACAAAAGTTTACGATCCAGTTGTTTGCCATTGTATCTGCACT